CACAGAGGAGTATTTCTTTCAAACAGTTCTAATCTAACTGAAACACTTAAAACGCACTTTACAAAAAAAGTTATTTTCTCAACTAGATTTGAAGAGCTGAGCTATTTAATACTAGGTAGAAGACAAAAATCAATTCCTGCCATACAAATTAATTGTCTGTTAAATGCAATTGCTTAAGGTACATGCTCAGTTGTGAGTGAAATTTTATGATGTTTTATTTTTATTGAATAGTAGGACAATTATACAGTCAATACATAGCACTAGAGGTATTGTAAAAATCATAACTTGAAAACAGTTGAAGGAGTTCAATAGATTATTTCGTGTGTACCTTCAGAACTGTGGAAATAAGGAAAAAACAACAGAGAAAAGGAAGACAATAGAAAAGGAGAGGATTTATCTGTGGGCACGGTGACACTGCAAGTAAGTGTCCACAGACACTTCCACAGACTGTGGAATTAAAAAGCAGATCAAAAGGAGCCAAGAAAATAGAGGAAATAGTACACTCCAAAGAAGGAGGTACCCAAGGATCTTTAGAATGCAGTCCTCAGGGCTGAATAAGCTTCACGGACATCTTTCTTGACAGATATTTTTCTGCTTTGAAACTTCCAGTAAATCGATTCCTCAACTTCCCGAAGGAATTGATTACAATGCCTAACTTGTCTGAAGCTGAAAGGTATTCCATAATTCCCACATCCTTCTTAGGGTCTCTGTATGCAGAGTTTCTGCTCATATCCACAGGAGTATTTCTAAAACAGATCTTCCCAAAAAGTAATGCCTAAGTGAGGTCTAGCTAAAAAGTTGAGTGTTGAGAAGAACCTATATAGGAAATCACACTGAAATAACACAACGGCTCGGGTGACATTACTGAGAGAACAGGACACACACACCGGTTTCTGGAAAGGCTCATTCCGGGAGACGGAGAGGCTGTTTCAGTGTAGTTAACTTGCATCAGAGACAAACTCCCCATGTTGCAGTCTCATCATGCCCAAGACTCGTCATGGGCCTCGAGAAAATGAACCTTAAAAACCCCCACTGCTCCCATGCCCAAGTGGCCCATTCTAAATGGAAAAGATTTTAAGATTTTTATGTTTTTTTTTTTTTAAGCAGATGGACGAGGTTTTAAGAAGAGTCAAGACAGCTGACAAAACGGTATCACCACTGATAAAATCCCCCTGCTTCAACAGGGCCAGGCTTCTGGCACACGCGCTTCCAGAACACCTCTTCACAACACACCGAAAGCCTCCAGCCCTTTCCCACGCTGCAGTCAGGTTAACTAAAGTAGAAGAGTTCAACCACTTTGCGCCGGGA